TTTTTCTTTGGGTGTCTGAAACTAGATGTGGTATTTTGGCTGAGGCATGGCTAGTACTAAATAGGCATCTCCTGATTACTGAATTTTTCAAAGATCAATTTATATCTGGGGAGCGCCCAGCCTTAGCTTGGAAGATGCTGCTTATTTGACGAAGCATCCTGGGATGGAAGAACTGTAGTGAGGGCAGAGGTGCTATCCTGGCTGCAGCACTTTCTTCCACCCTGGGAGACTTTCTCTCCCCTGCAAGGGTAGTAGGAGTCCCAAGATCCAGCCAGAAGTCTGCTGTGGTGTGTGTGAAGCATCAGGAATTGGGGTCAGGAGGGATGAGGACAGCTGGAGAAGGGGCACAGCATGCTTGTGGTTTGGCTGGCTGGAGGATAAACGAAGCTGGGGATGGAGGTGGCTAAGGAAGGTTGGATTGATTGGTCATGAGTTTGGGCCTCGAAGACTATGTGAGCACTTGTGGACATGAAGTGCAGGAAAGGCATGAGCCAAAGCCCTGATGCAGTTTCAGTTGCAACTACAGCATGCACTGGTCACCCTAAATCTGAACAGAGCTATTTTAGGTGGATGTTGGCACTGATCCAGAATTTCTTGTTGATGTGGGAGGGGAGGTGTGTAGGATGTGATTCTGAACAGAGTTGCTCAACAAGCTGCTCGAGTTGGGCTATAACTATGGCCTACTTTGAAAGGGATGGTTCCCGGTTTGTGGGAGGCGGGGGGAAGGTAAAATCTTGTTGGGAGAGAGCTGTTCTGCTTTTTCTTTATCCCTGATAAAATCTCCTACAGGTGCTGCAGCAGCCGGTGAGCCCATAGCCTGTCCCAGTTGTTCCAGTGACCATGTGGTCATTCTGCCCTCAGAGGTGTGCTTCAGCACACCTTTGCCAGCTGGCCCTGACAGCATGAGTGAGGACCTGTCAGACTCTGTCCTGGAGGGAGGCAGCCAGCAAGAGGGCCCAGAGGAAGCACCTGCCCTGGCCAGTGAGAGTGGGAAGTTCTACATCGGCGGGGAGGACAGCTCAGAGATGGATACCAGCAATAGCACCAGGACCCCGGAGCTGAGTGGCGAGCATGACGGCACTCTCCATTCCAGCTCCCGCAGCTCAGATGGGGGTTGCGGGAAGAAGGAGCTGAGCACAAAGAGCCAGTACTTGTCCCTCAGCCACACAGACATCAATGGGGGCAGCTTGATGGGGAGCTACCGTTACAGTGGTTCTCGTGGGCCTACTCCTTCCCAGCTTTCTTTGAACTCCGAGTCTGAGGAAACGTGGAATCTCAGTCCCTGTGAGTATGTAGGAGCTGTGCAGGATTTAGAGGTGTGCACACCTTGGTGTGGGACTTCATCACTGGTGCTCGCAGGGTGCTCTGCTTCCTGTTTAATGGGGAAGGGGGATCATCAAGCACAAGCAGCAGTGACCATGGTTCTTGTGAGGAGAGTTTTTCATGCCCCTCTCTGTTCAATCTTCATGCCTGAAGGGAGGAAAAACTGAGTTAGCTCCTAATCCCTGGTATTGCTCAGACTCTGAGTAACAGGGTCTTGTTCTGGGAGCTGCACTGCTCAGTTACAGACATACTTACTGGGTTCCTGTGGCACCAGTGAGCTACCAACTAGAGCATTACCTTTGGAGAAACAGCATGCACAATTTCTCTGTCTTATCCTCTGACTGAAGTGCAGTGTGAGGCTGGTGTTTCTGGTTAGTGGATCCACAGTTACTTGTGGTTTCCTCAGTAGTCTTTGTGAGCTTCAGATGACAAAGCCTGTCCAAAAAAAGAGACTGCGTGCTGGCTGCGTGAGTGCTATTGTGCAAGATAGCAGTTACTGGGAGATCCACAAGGGCCTTGGATTTCTGATGTAGCGGGCTGCTTTTGCTTGGGCATCAGCTTGCAATTTACAGAGTAACTGAAGTTGGAAAGGAGCTATGGAGGTTATATGGTCCAGCCCACCAAATGACTACTGCAACTGCAGTCTAGTCTTCATTTTCAAACCCATCAGCTTCTTGATAGAGATCTCCCCCAGCCTTTCAAGACTGCTGTGCCTCTGAAGATGACTTGGTATAGGACCAGTGTTTATGATTGCCATTTTCAATCTTGTACACTTGAAGTGTGAGAAGTAAAGCAGTCTCTTGTTTTGGGTCAATTCACAAGGTCCCAATTTAAAACTAAGCCCATTAAAAAGTTACTGCTGAGGAGAAGTTGATTAGTGTTTCTGGTGGAGAACAGGCTCCACTGGGAAGTGTGTACTCTCTAGCTATTGTATAAATTATTTGGTCATACAATTGCATGACAAACCTACTTATGTTCTTATGCAGTTTTATTGGTGTCTTCCTCAGTCCCCTTTAGCCTTACTACAGTCAAAGTCAGAGTTTAGAAAGTTGACCTGAGCTGACATTAGCTGAAATGAGAAATGTCTTTCTAGCTCTGACAGCAAAGTGTCCTCTAGCGACTAAGCTGAGCGTAGGTTGAAGATGGGTTAGACCAAAGCTTTGTATATCTGAAAAAGCAAGTGTTGGAGTAATGGAGTCCCCTCGTGTCTCCACATTGAGACCTGTGCCTGGAAAAGCCCTCGCTTTGGCCCTTTGTCTTGAGAAGAGACCTGGTGGAAGCAGGTGTGCAGAGGGGGTGACAATGCTGCCTTGGTGCCAGTCTGCATACTTGGGCAACCCCTGGTCAGTGGGCAGAGTGTCAATCCTACCCTTTGTTCTCCTCAGCTGTAAATGGCATCCTGAACACAAGGGACTTCCGTTCTGTGGATCATCGCCTGAAGCTGTACTTGGATATGGAGGTTTTTGAGGAGAATGCTGAGGAGTTCCAGTGCTTCCTCAAGGTGAGCTCCTGCAGCACCACCTCTACAGCTCCTTGGCTATCCTTCTAGCCACCCCGCAAGTTTTGCTCTGGGGTGGCATCCCAGAGACTGTGAGGTGTGAAGGGAGCTGAAGTGTGTTTGAGTCAGTCCTTTCCATGGGTGGGCTGGCAAGGGGCAGGCCAGTGCTGTGACCCGCCATCTCTGTGCTCTAGGTGGTCATGGTGAAGTTTGGCCGACAAGGAGAGTTTCTCTCAATCCTGGTTGCCTCTGATCTCAAGATTTATGTGCTGGAAGTCACTGGTGTTATCAGGTGAGGAGAATGGTGGCAAGTGAGACCCTGCAGCAAGGCTGTGAGTGCTGGGTAGTGCCAGCCTGTGCTAGCCTTACCCTGGAGGTGTGGTGACATGCAAAGGCTCTTCTGGCAAAACCCCCTGCTGTAATCTGATGTGGGAGAGGAGATGGGGCAGCCTGCTGCAGCTGAGGGCTGTGCTTTGTGATTAGGGGACAACCTGCAGACTGGCTGAAGAAGAATGACTCTCACTACCTGGCTGATATTTCCCATCTGGAAGTGGGACTCTGCCACCAGAGTTTGCGAATGGAGTTTGAGAACCCAAAAGCCTCCTACAATCTGCTGATCCGGAACCAAAGCTGCTGCGACCAGTTTCTGCAGACCCTGACATGTAAGAGTAGAGCTGTAGTGGGGGTGGGGAGGGGAGAGGATATGAAGGATTTGCTCTTGGACAGCTACCAGGCAAGCTGTAGTTGGATGTATGTTGGAAATTCACTTCCTGCCAGCTCAGAAAAAAGTTGTGCGGGGAACCCCAATGGCATCATAACTTTCAGTGCCTCTCTGTAGACTAAAGAACCATTCTGAGCAGTTATGTACTGCCCTTGGGCTTGCAATAAAAGATGCCTGCCTTCTTCCCCTCTTTAGATCTCATGCAAGAGCTGCCTGCTAAGCACAGGAGTAAGGTGAAGGAAATCTCCACTGTGGAAATGAATCCACAACATTGGCTATGGTAAGAACAGCTTCTGAGAGGTTGGGGGTTCGGATAGAAGAGGGTGTCCACTTGTCCAGTGGCCCTCAAAAGAGGGCAGCACAGGAGGACGTCCCGCTGGAGTGGCAGCCAGGCCTACGTTACAGGTTTAAGGCAGATGGCTCAGGTGCCTGCTGCACAGGGACTGAGCAGGCAAAGGGGTGTCATGGACTGAGCCAGGCAGAGCAACTCTGGCTCTCCTGGAGGAGCCTGAGCAGAAGATGATGGAGGGGGGAAAAGGGGGAGGCATAGGGCAGCCTCCTCCCTCGCACGGAGTGTTTGGTTCCTGGGTGACAATGTGGTAGGCAGAGTAACAGGAGAGAGAGAGGAATTTTGCAACATCTGGAAGAGATGGGTCCCTCCCTCTCCCAAGGGGACAGTGAACAGAAGCTAGCTCACAGCAAGCCTAGACTGGAATCAGTGCTTCCTTGATCAGCCTGCTGTTGTATCTCCTCCAGGCCTCTGCTGGACTCCAAGACCACAGATTCTGCAGATGACACTTGTTTCTTCTACCTGCTGGCCTACCTGATCCAAGGTACAGGAGATCTCAATGGCCAGGTGTCCCACACCTTGAGCCGTCTGCTTACATGCTTGTGTTTTTAGTGTACAGTCTGTGGGAAAACAGCTGGGCCATTGCTCCAGCAGCGAGATGGGGTTGGGGTGAGGGCTCTTTTTTTAGTGTTGTGTAGGACAGCAGCATCCTTCTTCCTGTATATCCAGTGAGCCTCCCAGCCCTTTTCTTGCGTGGAAGTCCAGGCTCTAGGCACCAGCTGGTCTTGCACACCAGGCTTGGTGACAACTCAGATAATCTCCAGCTTCTCAGAAGCCATTCTAAGGGCTGGATCATTGCCCAGAGCTGAGGGAAAGCTGAGGGGTCATACACACAGCTGGCTTGTGTGAGGAGCTGAAAGGCTCCTCTGTTTGGGAAAACAGAAGCAGGTGTCCGAAACCTGAGATGGTAGGACAGGAGCAGACTGCTGGAGCCCATCAAGTTCTGTTGCAGTGCTTGCTGAGGGCCAAATGTGCTAAACCTGGGATTTGAGTCTTCACTGAACAATTCCAGTGTCGTCTTAGCTTGGGACGCTGTAAAAAGCAACCTAGCTTTTAATCACATTCTGACCAATTTGTTACTGCTCCTGCACCCTTGTTCACCATTGGGGAGGTATGAGGGAATGAGAATCAGAAGGAATCTGTGGGAAGGATGTTTATTGGTCTCCTCAAGCTGAACATATAGCCTGTGGAGGGAGAATGTGAAGTGCATTTTTCTTACTCTACAGTTTTCTGCTTTTTTAGACTATGCTGCCCAAAACTGGACACAGTTCCAACTGAGGCCTCATTGCCAAAAAGACAGGACTAATTATACATTCCATTTCTGACATTCCGGCTAATTCCCAAGAGTGACATGTGACGAGAAAAGCAACATGTTGCTGTAGCAGCTTGTAATCCCCTATGACCTCAGCCAGTTCTGCTAGTGGTTCCCTATTTCTGCACATCTGACTTATTCCCAAGCTGTAGTGCTTTTCATTTGCATCCACTGAAATCAGCTGTTTATCAAAACTACTTTGCTTCCTGCCATACTTATGATGCATCACAACTTGGTATTGAACTTAGGTGCGTGCTCTCTGTTCCAACCATCAGATATCTGCAGCCACATTAATTCAGGCCAGAAAACAGCATCATTTTAGCTGGAGCTGCTGACTTTTAAGTAGTCAAGTGATATTTAAGAGGTCAAAGAACTCAAGTGTCTTTTCCTGCCTCACATGAGGACATAGGCTGGACAAGGCTTGCTGGGCAGTGGTCTTTCCTATGTGTGTTCTTGCAACAAGCTTGGATAAGCTGGTTAAGCCCAGACACATTTAGCTACCCTGCTCCCCCTCTTCAGCCAGGAGGCTGGATAAGGCTGTTCACCGAGTTACTGTTGCTGGAAAGGATTTCCCTAGGGGAGGAATGGAAAGCAAAGCTGATTCTGTGGTGACTCAGGCTGACAGCAAAGCCTCTCATATTCCCTTGTATCCCTTTTAGGGGCATCTGCTTTCCCTGTGACCCTGCTGAGCACCCGAAGCATGCTGTTTCTGCTGGAGGAGAATCACCAGTGGCAGGTGCATCCCTCCTTGGATGAAGACCATGAGGCAGAAACACCTCCTAGGAGCAATGTCCAGTTGAAGGAGAAGCAGCCGATCAGCAGTATTAGCAATGTCATAACCTATCGCCTCTGTCCTTGTGATATCAAGCTGATGCTTTATGATGAGGTAACCAGGAGGTGGTCATGGGGCACACCAGATGCTGGGGGCTGGATTATGCTCAGATCCTGTTCCTGCCAAGAGTGTCTTGGGGCTGTCACCTCCCATCCTAACCTAGGGCCTTGCTCCACGGAGGCTGGGGAGCACAGCAAATTGCTGCTGTACGAAAGTCACGCAGGGACACTTCCAGGGCTGGCAGCAGAGGGGGAGGAGGATGTCACTTAGGAATTGGGAGAAGCCGGCAGCTGCCCTGGGGAATAGCGGCGCCGGGCTGATCAGTGCCTTTGAGGTTAGACCTGCTCATCCACCTCCCTCTCTTTCCTCCCTCCCAGGTGCTGAAGGTGGAGAGCACTTGGCACATCCGCACAGAGTGCCCTGAGCTCCTGGCAGAGCTGGTGGAGTGGATCCGCGGGCCCTGGGAGGAGATGTTCTCCATTGAGCTACGCAAGGCTGTGTATGAGGGAATGGAGTGAGCTTGCCAGCTATAGGCAGGCAGGACTCGGAGTCAAGAGTGCTGATGTGCTGGCAATGGTGCACAAGTGTCTCTCACTCCCATCTGACCTTGCTGTCCTGTGGCCTCTGCTTTCTACTCTGCTCTTGCCCTGGCCCTTTTTGGTGAGGAGGAGGGAAGCACACAATGGTCCAGACTGAACAGTCACTCACTTTCACTGGGCTGGCCATGGGAGGAGGGAGGAGGTGGAGGGTGTTTCCTGTAATACTGCATAAGGTACACAGAGTTTTAACTTGGCAGTGTCTGCTAGTCTCCTTCGGGGTCCTATGGAATGTCACTGAAGGAAAAGGGAAGCCAGGCCAGGGCATGTTTAGTGGGACATGCAGTGGTACTAGGCAAACAGCAGGCCAGCTGGGTGCTGCGGTCTTTCTAGGAGGTGTATTTGCTGCCTTCCTAGCTGTCTCAGAACAGCTGCTGTTATCTGCTGCTGATTTTTTTTTTTTTCTTCCCCCTCCCTCTTGTCCACGGCTTCCCTAAAGCTGCCTGCTTCATACAGGAGCCCAATTGCACAAGGGGACGAGGCGTGTTGCACTAATAACCCCACAGAGAGCCCTTACCCACCTGCCTGGTGGGGCACGGCTCTGCTGCTGTAGTCTTTCGCTGTCACTGGGGAGGGAGGAGCTGTGAGGCTCTTAGCACAGAAATCCGTTGCTCATCGCTTAGGGGTCAGGACCCTGGTGGGCACTGGCAGGTAAAAGTGAGGCTTAGGCTTTTCTGAGCAGTCCAAAAGCAAGAGTCTATTTTAACATGAGTTTTACTATTTTCTATTGTAATAAAAGCTTATATTTATTGAATTGTCACATTTTCTTTGTTTCATCCTCTTGCACTGCTGTAATGTCTTTGTAAGGTCTCACATACTAGCTTTGCAGCACCCTCAAGGGTTCCCCAACATCTCGCAGGGTTTGAGCCGTTTTCCCTCTCCTGTTCAGGGTGGGTGCTGATGGGCTGCTAGACCAATCTTCTCCACCTGCCTGGTTCCCAAGCAGCAACCAAGGAACAAAGTCCAAACAGGATTAGACTCACAGCAGGTACTAGTTGTGTTGTTCTCCTGTGACAGTTGCCTTCAGGTGAGCGTCCTGTGGGCTTCCAGCCCTAGCAAGTCGCTTACTGGCTGTACCGGCCCTCAGAGGCACGCCTCAGGAGCTGTTGCTGCTGTGGCTGCAGGAGTACCTGACCCCAGCTTCTTCCCTGTACCAGGCTATGCCTTGTCTCAGCTTCTCCTGCACAGAGTTAATTACAGCTCAAAAAAATGCTGCTGCCTGGCCTGGGCTTGCTGTGTCACCTGTCCAGGGAAGAGCAAGTGGAGGTGCTGCGTGTGGTGTTTTGATGCAGTCGCAGCTCCATGTGGGGTGAGCAGAAATGGACCTGTTAGATTAAGGTGCTACCAGGTGGGATCTGATACCCCAAGCAGGGACCTTTGCTGATGGCTGCTTTTCCCAAAGCAGTGTCTCTGTCTTGCTACGAGTGTTCAACCCATGGTTTCAGGGCAAGTTTTCCCACTGCTGAATCCTCAGGGACAAAACCTCCATCTTATGTCGAGGTGATCTTGATTTCTTTACAGACATGTATTTGTCATTCAGTGACCTGATGCCCATTTTTCTTTGGATACTGAGTACAGCAGCTCTTTGCAACAGTCTCTACAACACCCAAATTTTCCACAAACCTAAAGTTGGTGTCTGTGTCTTCTGTTTCTGTCATCTGGAAAACAGCGGTGACTGGGTTCCACAGTGTCCCCCTGCTCCAGTCTCACCTGGGCAGATAAAATAGTTTCCCTCCCTGCTCAAACCCAGCTATGCCATCCCTATAGCCTTAGGAGAGCGGGAAGTTCAGTTTCCATACTTTGTAGTAGTCTGAAGGCCACTTTGCAGCACATTGGACACTTTCTTGGAATCACAGTGCTATTAGACTTTCTCCTGTCACTTCCAGAAGCAGCTGAGTTGCTGAAGGCCTGCAGTGGCCGATATTTTTATCTACCCTTCTAGAGACTTGATTGACAAGATCTATACTGTCTTGAAGCAGATGTCACAACATATTTCACTTTCTCCCCTTTTCCTAAATGGGCATATGGCCACTGCTCTCCATTTCTTTGGAGTGATCTCAGATCGCAAACAGGAGTGAGCTCAGTGGAAGCGCTGCCAGCACCTAGCGCTCTGTCCGGGGGAGGGAGTTGGAGAGAGCTGAGCCAGTAAAGACCAGTAAGGCTTTTTTGTCTTCATCTTGCCATTTAAGGAGCTTGCATAAGTTCTGTCTTCACCTTCTATAGCTGTGTTTTTCACAAAGGGCAAGAGTCAAAATTGGAGTCAAAGGATCAGCTCGTTGATGTCTCTTCTGCATAAGCTGATGCGTTGAGAAAGCCCATGCCTGGAGGTTGTTTTTTCCATCTTGTCTGAGCTGCACCTTTGCTCTGCTGTGCCATTGTCTGTGTATGTGTTGAGAGGCCTGACAAAGTGTGGACTGCCAGAACCAAAGGTTTCAGCTGTGTGCCTGGCCATAGCCCTTCTCAAGCTCTTCCCCGTTTTTACTGCAGAAGTGACTACTCATTTGCTTCTGCTCCTTGCCGCATCTCTGCAGGTCTGTGCCCTCAGCTCAGCACTAGCCTCTTGGTCCCATTAACAGCTCCCTGCTCTTCTGCCTTCCTCTGACCACTGGCAGGGAAGCTCACACGCACTGCCACAGCCTGTCTCCTGTCTCTTCATGAACCACTTGCTTTGTTTTCCCTTAGGGTTTTGTCCTGGTTGTTACCAGGTTAACCCTTTTGTGGTTAATTCGTGATCATGAATGCTTTGCTGTGGGGCTCCTTGCACTAGGCGCAGCGATAGGATTAACTGGCCTCATTGCATCAGCTGGGTGTGTGCAAGGGCTTCCCTGACACGCCTCTCCACTCCAGCACTGCAGGCAGCCCTGACTGATGGCTGTGCAGGAACAGGGGCTGCGTAGGAGAGCCAGGATTTCCAAAAAGGTGTGACATCTGTTGAACCAGCTGCAGATGTCTTCTGCCTGTCACAGTTTTGAGTATGCAGTCCCCCAGCTGTGCTCTTAGACACTCTCGACTTTCCCCCTTCTTCCCGTTTCCTTTTCTGGGTGCACTCAGTTGCTAGCACGCAGCAAGGCTGGTCTGAATCTCAGCATTTCCCTGCCTGCATCTGCCTGGAGCAGGCTCTTCTTGAGGTGCATGTAGCTGGAGGCATGCCCAGTCCTGGGGTGGCCACAGGGCTCTGGAGATAGGCAGCAGGCAGCCGTGGGCTCAGGCTTCAGGCTGGCCATTGCCATAAGCCTGAAGCTACCACCACTCTTCCACAGGCACATACCAGCCCTGCCTTACTTTGCTGTTCAACTCATTGATGAAAATAACGCCTCAGTCACGGGTTTGGCTATTTCAGTGCTTCCTGCTGTGTGTCTCTGCCCTCTAAAGCAGTACTGCCTTGAGCATACGTAGCCTGTGGGTTAGCTGTCAGTCCCCTTGCACTATGTCTAACTAACGAAGCCTTGTTTCTAATCAGACTGGGTGAATGGAGGGACTGGTTGTTTACTTCTAGCAGAATATGCCTGCTGGCCTCATCTCTAGGGGACTGGAGATGTAGCAGCAAAGGGCACACGGACCTGCCTGGCCAGCTTCATCCCTCCTGCAGGTGCCAACGCTCCTTACCCAGTTTACAGAGCAACGGCCCGGGGCCGTGTAAAGCCCTTCTCCGCGGGCTGCCCTTCAGCAGCCAACGCAGGCTGGGCTTGAGTGCCACGTGCGGTACTGGGGTGCCAGCAGAAGTCAGCACCCACGAACAGGGAAGGAGAGCCTAGCAGGAGGGAGGTGGGCAGGGGCTGTGCAGTGTACCCCCACTGTGCTGTATAATCAAGCAGGGGGGTGAAAGGGAAGGGGACTTTATTTTGAAGCCGTCACAGCCTTCTCTCGGCCTGTTATTGGGGAGGGTCATTGCCCTTTGCGGTCCTGTGACGAAGCGTGCCTCCGCCTGTTGTCAGAAGGTTAGTAAGCTAGTCGTGGAGCTGTCCTGTATCAGGACAAACAGTCCTTAACAGAGCCATCTGCTCCCTGTCCCCATGCCAGCCAAGTTGTTTAATCTGGGCAAAGCATGTTTGCTGCTGAGGACGTGCACTGCCCACCTGCAGTGCTGCCCGCCTGTGGCCCTGCTCCAGGAGGGTGGAGGTGGCTTCCTTGCCCCTTCCTTGCCCCACTACGGAGCAAACACGCTTGGGACACCCAGCCCCGCCATCTGCTGCACTGACACCATCCCCAGAGGCAGAGGCAGCCGTAGCAGGGCCCAGCCCGTCCTGCCCTATTGATCAGAGCAGGAACTGAGGCTGCTATCGAGAGCTGTGCTGGGCCCTATGCTGACCATGGCACCCTGTGTCTGGCAGCCAAGGTAGGATCTGGTGGTGGAGTCCCAGAGGGTGCCTCCATCATGGCACCGTGGCTGAGCAACAAGGAAGGACTGCTTGCGGGAGCTCTCGCCGTGTCCCTACTGAGCTGTAGTGCTTGTCCCAGAAATGGATGTTCTCCTTTTCCCTGTGCTTAACTCCCCCTCAGCCACTATCTCCTCAATTACACGCTCCCCTTGCTCTTGCCAGGCCATGCAGCCGCCTGCCATGCTCCACACACTTGCTCCAGCTCTGGGCTATGCCCCACAGACTTCGTGGTTTGGGGCTGATGCTGGGTTTTGCGGTTGGTGACGATGGCCCTGTTTCCTCTACAAAGTTCGCCTCTGAGCCAGACCCCGCAAAGCTGCTGGTCTTGCATATCCTTCCTGCCCACAGTGGGCTGGAGCTCCGTCAGCCTCAGCTGATGTGGGAAGGGATGAGGGTGGGCAACACCCTTCGCCCACCGCCTTCCTTTCCTGGCTGTTGCGGGTTTGCCCTTTGCCCCAGGCTGAAAGGGCGATGCCTCTGCAGGCACTGGGATGTCGCAAGCTCAAGATGAGGGTAAAGCCCAGGAACGCACGGGGCACTGTT